CAATGTCATCCATCATTTTAAACAATTTATTAGCTGTTTTAGATATATGAGATGCATCAATTGAAGTCAAAAATACTGTACCCATAGGGCTATTAACTAAAAAATTCAATATAGTTCTCCTTTTCTTGTCGGTCCAGCCATCCGTCATTATTGTGCATCCTATTTTTCTCCATTCTTCTCTATGTACTTCAATAGCTTGCGTGGTCAAATTCACATGATGTTTCAAATACTTAACTCTGATTTCATGATAGGAAGGTGGCTTGAATCCAAGCCCATATTTTGTCACCGATTCCAACATCTTATGAAATTCTTCACTCCTTGCCACATTGAATGGTATGGCATTGTTGTAAAAAAAAGAAGCAATATCTTGACACACTTCCTCTCTCAAATTTTTTTTGAATATGTTATTGAGAGTGACTTGATTACTTACTCCTCTCTTCTTGAAAATGTTCTCACTGCCCTCAACTTCACCCCCTTTTCTTTTTTCACCAGAATCACTCCCACCATCACCTTCTCCAAGAAGTTCGTTGAGTTTGCTATTTGATTTCTTCATTAATTTCTCTTGTAAGGAGGACACAACGAGCCACATTTCTCTCCTCACTTCATCACTAACCGAAGAGCAAGCACCCACATCTTTTTGTGTTCTAGCCAGATGATGTTTTAATCGGTAAACTCCACCAGTTATTAATTTTCGACAATAGTTACACTGAATTTTTCATGCATCTCCATCCACAGATGATCCATGTTGCCATGCCACATCACTCCTTTTTCCAGGAGCATTTTTTCGCAAAGAACCGGCCACAACTGCACCAACAGAGCAGCTCACTGAGCCAGTAGAAGTGTGACCAATGGTAGGACTTGCAACCACTCTCCTACTTTCTGGTTGCCCTCTCTGGATTGCAGGTATACTTTTTCCACGTGCAGACATCTTCAAACAGGACAGAGAATGGGGAAAACAGATTCGCTGTATTGGAGAAGAAGAGAAATGTGCGTCGTGAGTCTAAGGAAGAAGGGAAGTGTGCTGAAGAAGAAGAGAGTGTGGGTCGGATGCTGAGGAAGAAACACTTTGCTGAGGAAGAAGAGAGTGTGGGTTGGGAACTGAGGAAGAAGACTTTGGGTCGCGGTCGACGGTGCTGAGGAACTTTGGGTCGCAGTCGGCAGCAATGTTGAGGAAGAAAACTTTGGGTCGTCGTCGTCTGTGTTGAGGAAGAAAACACTGCGTCGTGGAGAAAGGGGCAGCGAAAAGGGAAGAACGAAAAAAAAAAACCCTAACATCTAAGATTAAATAAGTCGGGTAAAAAAAAAAGGCCGGGTCAAATCGGGTAATCGGGTTTTTTAAAGAATATGGGGCTCCACCAAACTCGTCCAGGATCGCACGCTTCCACGATTTCACGAGGAAGATCGTGCGATCCCAACGATCTTGAAAAATCGCGTCGCAGGGCAGGAACGGGATCGGAGGCGCTGCAAAAGCTCGTGAAATCGTCCGATCTTACGAGTAAGATCGCGATTTTGACTACGCTGTTGTTCTCTATGATTCTTCCATCCTGATGCACTTCAATCAAGTGCTGCCGCAAGTCAGCACTGAATTTTCCCAAGCTTTTCAGCCATTCATACCCCAAAACCACGTCAACACCCACCAAATTAAATAGAAAAAAATCCTGGATTATTTGGATATTCGGCAGTTCTAGAATAACCCCCCGACAAACTCCCTGACTTCCCAGCTTCTTGCCATCCCCTACTTCCACAAAATAGCTCTTTGTAGCCTTGGTTTGTATTTTCAGCTCCTCCACCAGCCCCGGGGACAAAAAGTTATGGGACGCACCGGAATCGACCATAACTATGACTTTCTTACCCAGAATTGTCACCCATAGCTTCAACGAGTTTTTGGAAGTCATTCCCGCTATGCTGCTTGCGTTCAACTGGAGATTCAGCTCCTCTTCGTCGCTGTCCTCCATGGAAATCTCCCCTTGGTCCTCCTCGTTTTCTCCCAAAAGAATTATGTGGAGTTGTTTATTGCGGCATATGTGGCCAGGTGAGAATCACTCGTCGCAACGAAAACACAGTCCTCGCCTTCGCTTTTCGCTCTCCTCCTCTTCGGTAAGTCTCTTGAACCCTAGACCCCTTCTGCTCAAACCAGCTGCGAACGAGTCGCATGAATTATTTCTGGTTCCTTGGGTCAGGTTTGCGTTAAATTGGATAGGGTTCCCTTGCTGGTTTGGGTTTCTTAACCCAGCTATTGGAGCTGGTTCAATTCTGCCAGCTCAACTCCTTTTAGTCGTGTCTTGGGCTCCATCTTTTAAGGCCCAATTTGTTTTAATACCCATTGACCCACCAGCTCTTCCCGTTGACCCATAAGAGAGACCCAATGTCCTATTATTCTTTTCTTCAACCTTTTGTGCGAACTCCATGACTGAGCTCAGGTCGCCGGAATCCCTTAATCTCACTTCCGCCTTGATCTCCTCCCTGAGATCGTTGAGGAACGCACCAATCATGAACTCTTCATCGGCAAAACGCAGTGGAGCTGAGTACAGCTCGAACTGCTCCCTATACTCAACCACAGTCCCTCTCTGCTTTAGCCCCGTCAATGCCTCATAAGGATTTTCTGACACCGATGATCGAAATCGACCCAACAGCGCTTGCCGGAAAACGGGCCACGTAGACGTTGGAACCCGTGGCTCCCACCATTGATACCAGTTAAGCGCTTTCCCTTCCAGCAAACCACCGCCGTATCCACCTTCTCCGCCTCTGGTATGCCATTGATCTCAAAGTATCTCTCGGCTCGGTACACCCATCCATAAGGGTCCTCTCCACCAAAATAAGGTACTTCAACCCGCCTTACTCTCTCCTCTCTTCTCCATGCGTCTCCTTCTCCATTGCCCCCGTCTTGGTTGTTATTGTTTCCTTCCCTCTCCGCTCGAACAACCTGCATTAGAGGACTACCCAAAGCTAGAGGGAAGGACAATATCTTAGTGGTGGTGGACAGGCTCACCAAACATGCATATTTTCTGCCCTTCACTCACCCTTACACTGCTACAGATGTGGCCCAACTTTTTGCATGAGATTGTCAAACTTCATGGATTTCCCTATACTATTGTTCTAGACCGAGATCAAGCCTTCCCTTAGTACCTTATGGAAAGAATTATTCAAGCAAGCAAGCACAAAACTGAATTTTAGTATGGCTTACCACCCTCAAACGGATGGTCAAACGGAAGTGGTGAATCGTTGTTTGGAGACTTATTAACGTTGCATGACAGGGTCGAAACCAAAAAGCTGGCTGGATTGGTTGAGTTAGGTGAGTTCTGGTTAACACACATTATAGTGCAGCTACAAAGATGACTCCTCTCAAAGCTTTATACGGGCATAATCCTCCTTTGCTATGGAAGGGCTCTACGATTCCATCCAAGGTGGATAGCATAAATCAAATGCAACAGCAATGAGATGAAATATTAAGGGATTTAAGAGGCAATCTGTGTAAGGCACAGGATCAAAATCGGGTGCAGGCCAACAAACATAGGCGAGAGGTGGTTTATAAAGTGGGTTTTCTTGAAATTTTGAGATCAGTAGCTAAGAAAACAAATACTAAGCTGACTCCTAGGTTCTATGGGCCCTTTCAGATTTTGGATCGCATTGGCCAAGTTGCATGTAAGCTGTAGTTACCTAAGCATAGTCAAATACACCCTGTTTTTCATGTGTCTATCCTCAAGCCAGCAATGCATCCTGACACCATGCTGTGAATCTGCTACCACAATCCAAGAAGTTTTCCCTAATTTTCACCTTGAGGACAAAGTTAGGAGAGTGGAGTTCTCTCAAATAACTCTGGAATACTAGGTGTACAGATTCTGCCTAAGTTCTGAATCTATATCTACATGATGAAATTAGGGTTCCTCAATAAAATTTCAAGAACTATTTTTCTGTATTCTGTACCAGACCTATCAGATAACAGATATTATTCTGTTTGTCACATGATCTCTATTAGGTACTTAGGTTTCTGTTAACATTAGATTTATGTTAGAGACCAACGTGCATTTGGGCCTAATGAGTTGCTAGTGCAAGATAGTAGACCTGGCCCAAAACAGTGGGTAGTTTATGTGAGAAAGAAAAAGAGAGGCACGGGATATGTGGGTGGAAAAGAGGGTGAGCTGGCTAGTTAGTTATGCCAAAAGAGAGAGAATCGTTTGTTATATGGGGGAATGATTTGTTTAGAGGGGTATCCATGAACAACTGTTACTGTTGGACACAGGGAACTGTAGAAAAGTTTGCATTGAGTAATTTGTCAGACAACCAAAGTCGAAAATCAATAGGTCTAAGCACAAAGCTTAGAGAACACAAAGTAAGCCAAAATTTTACATTACGTAAAAGATGAAAGCACAAAAATATTAGCACCAAAGCAAGAAGTGCGTGATTATTACAGATTCAAATAGTGTCAACAGACTAAATAAGATGTTAAAGTATAACAAGTGACAAATGGATAGAAAATAACAAGTTTCACAAGTTCTGTAAAAGCAGGCAAGAATAGTCTTTAAATAGAAACTTAGCAAACTTTGACCAAAGTAAAGCACTTTCTGTCTTTTAAAACCATAACTCTTTTGCTAAACATTTTTTTCCAAACAGAGTAATAGGCTACTAATAATGTGATAGGTAAACTTCACAGCAGTTAGTAGAATAATTGGAAGTTGGTTAGTTAGTTTGTTGGGCTGGGACTGTTAGTGAGGGCTTCTATTAGTTAATTACAGAATAGTAAAAAGAAGGGACAGTATATAAATAATAGGGAGGAAAAGAGAAAACGGAGGGAGAATGATCATAATTCACTCATTGAGTTTCCTGGTCTCTTGAATATCCAGGGTAGTTATGAGTACATTTTCCTGATTTCTTGTTCTACTTTCACATAGGGAGTAACGCTGGAAGTGGGCTTTTCTCTTAACAAAGATTCACTTATCATTGACACCAGCTCCTATCATAATGATCATATTTAGAGAAACATAATAAAGATCACAACATACCTCAAAGCCAGTAATATCGCAAATTCTCTTGCAGGGATGCATAGAGGGGGGTGACTCAATATTGACATCTACAAGACAATCCAAATAAAAGAAAATATACAACTAAAATTCTTGTACAATGATGGCACATATAACAAGTAAAATCACAAATAATAGGAATTGGAATGCAGAAAGTTGCTTCATGAACTGAGATTAAACAATTAAAATTCAATCATTGTTTTTCATCAACAATTGAAGAAATATTATTGATGAGGAAAGAGAGGTATGAGAGGGAGAGAAGAGAATATAACCACTAAAAAGAAAGGGGAGGGAGGGGAGTGGGTAAGTAAAAATGCTCAAGAGTGCAGTAAGTCTGCTCAATATTTGTACATATTGCACACAGACAGCCCAATATGCCAAAAACATTCATTTGCAGAGAACTGAAGGGAAACCATAACAATTTTATCACACAACAAATACATGGGCAAAGATCTGCCTTGAAAATCCACACATTCTACTCCCATCAAATTCCCCATGGCCAACCTCCTCAACCTTACCACAACCATAAAAATGATCTCCACTCTCTTTCAAATTTATGGCCAAAACAGAAAAGTTAGTAGACCCTACATATGGCCAAAACTAAATAATTTCTCAAAACAAAATTTTAGGAAAAGAACAAATAACACATTGTATTTATGAGAGTTTCACCTCAATTTGAATAAACAACACAACTGCTTCCCAAAAAGCCTACCAATCTTCAGCAGAGTAAAATTTTTCAAGAAACATGAATCCCAAATACACACAGACACATAAAGAAGTAACTATATATAAAGCAGCTAAATAAATTTATTTAGCTGCTTTATATACAGTGTGTATAAGAAGTAACTATATATAAAGCAGCTAAATATATTTCCTCAGAAAGAACCAATAGAAATGGACGTGATTGCTCACAATTGGGTTCATCAGGAGGGTAATTCTGGTAATTCTCAGCTTGAATAATCTGTTTAAGATGTTTCCAGTGCCGGCCTCTGGCTTGACCTTTAGGATATTTTTCATACATTTGAACCCTCTTAAAACCGAGGCAGCTTGGCAAAACCAGCTCTGCCTCCACAACCTCTGCCTCCATCTTCTGCCCTTCATCAACATGGCAAGCAAAAACTTTTCAGTAATTGATTTCTATTTGAATCATATAACAAGAAATATCATAGCACCAAATAAACCTTAATTCATAAGATGCTTAAAGAAAAACATCACCAGCAGTGGTATTTCTCCTCTCAACCCTTCCAGGGCATGGTTTGATATGGCACAGAAAACTAAACCAAACCTATAAACAAACCGGTAATAGGGTTCAGTGTTAAAAAGCTATCGAGTTTTACTTTATGTCAAACTAGTTTAGTTTTTGGTGAACTAGTTCTGAACCAGTTTAGGTTTTATAACTGGTTTTGAGTAATCAAACCACTTTAAAAACGGTTTATGTTCAAAACTGGAGACACTTCAAAAACGAGTTTACGTTTTCAACCAGTGAAATCTGGTTTTTCCATGTGAAAACTGGTCCAAAACAGGTATCAAGATCAAGATAGTTAAAATCGGGATTTTAACTGTAATAGTAAAGGAGAGTGAAAATTGTAAATCATAAAACCATAAATCGAAAAATAAGATTTTACAAAATTCATATATATCCATATATAAAATGGCATAAATTAGAAACCCTAAACTAACTTATAAATCATAATTCTTATTCCAAAGGAATGTAATGCAAAATCCATATAAGAACTCACTAAGAACAGAACAGAGGAGAGAAGGGGAGAACAGGTGCATATACTCGAACAAGAGCAGATGAGAAGAAAGTAACACAGAAGTCGTGTTAGACTCTCGCTCACTGTTCGAAAACGGCGTTCGGTCAAATCCACCGGAACATAGCCCGTGGGTCAAGATCCAGACCCGAAAGTGAAAATTCAGAGTCAAATTAAAATCCCACGATTATAAGAATTTTACTCTAACGTTATATGTAGATTAGGGATAAAATAGAGAGAGAAAATAATGAGTAAAAAATTATTATTTAGATGGATTAAGATAAAATAAATTATTAATTTTTATTTATTTAATAAATATTTCCTAAATATTCGACCTTTGAACAAATCTTAAAATTTTCATATATTTTTTTATTTTCTTTTGAAGGAATTTTGATTCGTAATATATGTAAAAGTTAATAACCATGGTAACCATAAAGACTACCATAGATTCACCTACACATTCTCCAAATTTTTATTAATTTTTTATTTTGATGTTTTAATTTTTTAATAGATTTTACTGAAAATTTGACTATATTAAATGCTTAAATATACTATTAAATATTGGTCAATTAGATTTGAAAGTGTATGCGTGATCTCGTTAGATTTTATAAAAAAAAAAATGAATAAATATTATTCATTGAAACTTTTGTAAAGTGTGATTTAAAAAAAAAATGTGTACTTTGTGGAAGTCTGCAAAATGTTTATGCCCTCACTTTGGCAATTGGGAATGGGATATGGTGATAATGATCGAGACTTTCGTATAATAATAATAATAATAATAATAATTTAAAATTTAAATATTATATTATTTGATTCGAACCTCAGTTTATTAAATATACAAGATGTAACGGCGATAATGATCGTGACCGACAATCCTACTACTTTTAAATAACTTGACGTGTAATATATACAGATTGCTATTGAGAGTCTTGAACCAAATGAGATTTTTTTTTTTTGAAACATGTGTGCATAGGATTATTTAACCTGGTTTATGGATACCATTATCATTCTTGAGTATTGAGAAACTTGCTTCTGATATAATTTAAAGTGACACGCAGTCACGGCATGGATCTTGATTCTTCATGCACCTGATAAGCAACAGTTTATAAAGATTCATGTCATACTTTTATTACTAATAATTACTCATGAGATTTTGTTTTCTTCATTTACTCATAGTTTAGAAAATCATAACATTAGTAAGCACTACTTGAATAATATAGTCATACCATGTATTAACATAACTATACAAGTGGACTCCAATCTTTTTCACCTGCTCATGAGCCAATTACTAATAATATGAGATACAACATGTGGTTTATCACTTCAACTAGAACTCTCTTATGGGATGAATCCACAGAGTTCACATTCATTACCTAAATGCATTGAAGAACCAATTTTTTTGCCTATTTAATTCCATCCAAATAAAAATCAGAAGATAACTGATAAAATAAACCTGGTTATATAAATAATCCCATAATTATCAAAAGTAACTGCAATTTATCCAAGAATCTTAAAACACAATCCACGAACATCAGAGTATCAAAACAAAATACATTACACCCAAGCTACTAAATAAAATATAAAGTATCGAATTCTCCACCGTACAACAAGAGGAGTCCCTTAGTAGCGAACAACAAAAGAAATAACAAAACATCGGTCAAGACTCCTTGAAAGGGTCCTCTTCTATCTCCTTGGTATCTGAAGGATCCTCTTCAAATTAAGCTCAATGTGGAGAATAAGATGGAGAAAGGTCATCCTCAAGATCTGTGACAACTAAAATAAAATGTCCAACACCACAACATATTTCAACAAAGAAAAGGAGTGAGATATATTGTCAAGTAAATATTTTTCAGAAAAGAAATAAAACAAAGTAAGTACGAGCATACATCACATTAATAGAATTGTAACTTTTACAATCTAACAAAATGCAAGTCTAATTACATGATGCATGACTAATGCAAATGATAACTCTTGGTTTGGCAAAATCTTATTTTCATGCTTATGCGACTCTGGATCCATAACAATCCTATTGTTCGGAAGTTGTTGGGAGTTTCACTAGCCAGCCTACATTTCGCATGTATGGTGGGGACTCGACCCTCCACCAACCGATCTAGCTCAACCAACAAGATAAGCCTCAGGAGAAGGTCAGGATAAAGGAGCATCACGTGGAGACTCCCAGCCAGAGTTCCGGGGCCTAGGACACTCAAAGGGCTATTGGTAAGTCACCCAACTCCATTAAATCCCCTAGACGTCGAGGTCCTCCCTGTCTTTCACCAACATCAGTTATAAAATAACCTCGTGACTTCCTTCATAGGGGAGTGGGATCGCACACATTTGCCTTCTGAATAGTCATGCACACTTTTGGAGTTTCACTTGGCAAGTACTTATATCCGTGCTTCAATGCACTTTCTCTAAGTGTTCCAAGCTCACTAGCTTCGTCTCTTTCCTTGAGTTCCAACCATTACCCGACTAGAGTTACACTACTCATTTATTTTCAAAAAAAGAAAGAAAACAAAGTTTTCACAAAGGTTTACTTTTAGTCATTGGATTCAATTATTGAACTCAGGGTTAAAGCTGAAACCATGGCCAAACTCCTTAGAGCGCATATACTTACATACCAATTTACTCTCAGCGTATCATCACGCATTTAAGAAATTTGGAAATCAATTATACTTAAGGGATTCTAAATAATTCAAAGTATTAGAAAATCTCATTTTTCAAAAATAAATCAAACATGTATTTAAAGACGAATTATTTTAACGAAATAAAAATAAGTACTTTTACCAATATCATAAAATTTTGCAAAAATACATTTAATTACCTTTGAAACAGATTAAATCGTGCTAACACACATGAACATAGAGGGAGTAAAAATTAGGATGTTACACAAGATGTTATAAATTAATAATATACAAGATGTTATGAATTATTATATGAGTGAATGTCCATATTTATAACTCTTCCTTATTCTTTGTAAATTACGATTTTGTAACTGTTTTGTTTAATTCTCATTTAAAAAGATACGATTCTTCGGTTACAATTCATTTATATTGAGGATATGTGAAATAAAATTGAGATTTTCTCTTCCTCTTTATATTCTTCTATCTATTCTTCTTTATAATTTTACATTCATTTTATAATACGTTATCAACACAAGGGCTCTACTACACACTTTTGCAATAAAAGAACATTCTTAAACAAAGGTATGATATTTTTTATTTTGATTTTTCTTATAGAAATATATCATTATTTATTTTAGTTATTGTATGTATAAATTTGTCTATATATATATATATTATATAAGTAAATTACTAGTAATTTAATATTATTTTATTTTTACTTTTGATCATTATAATATTTAGATAATATCTAACTTATTTTTATGATAGTACTAAATATGTCGAATCTTACAAACATCAAATTTGTCCCACTTGATATTACAGGAAAAAATTACTTATCATAGGTATTAGATGCTGAAATTCATTTAGATGCAAAAGTCTTAGAGATACTATCAAACAATGAAATAAAGCATCTAATCAAGATAAGGTTAAAGCTATGATCTTTCTTCGTCATCACCCTCATGAAGGTTTGAAAAATAAATATCTCATGATAAAAGACCCACTTGTGCTTTGGAATAATTTAAAAGATAGATATGACCACCAAAAAATAGTCATTTTACCAAAAGCTCGTTATGATTAGATGCATTTACGATTGCAAGATTTTAAAACTGTTAGCGAGTATAATTCAACATTATTTAGAATCACATCTATATTAAAATTGTGTGGAGAAAAGGTCATTAATGAAGATATGTTAGAAAAAACATTCTCTTTTTCACGCATCTAATGTGCTATTGCAGCAGCAATATCGTGAAAAAGGATTCAAAAAATATTCTGAATTAATTTCTTGTCTACTTGTGGCTGAACAAAATAATGAACTTTTGATGAAGAATCACGAATCTCATCTGACTGGCATTGCTCCATTCTCAGAAGTGAATGTAATAACCCGTAACTACTGTAATTATGCACAAACTTATAGTCGTGGTCGTGGACGTAACAATAATTGTGGTCGTGGTAATAGTTATAGACATGGTCGTGGTGATAATTAAAAAAAAATATACATTTTCACACTAGAAGTGGAAAAATGGTGAAAAAATTGAAAAGGATAAAGCTACTCAAAGTAGCAAAAATATGAAAGACATATGCTATCGTTGTGGAAGCAAAGGTCATTGGTCACGTATTTATCGTACACCAAAGCATCTTATTGATCTTTATCAAGAATCACTTAAAACCAAAGAAAAAAATAGAAACAAATTTTATTTGTGAAGATGACAATGATTCTATTTATGATCATATGCACGTCACTTACTTAGATGTTGCTGATTTTTTTGCTGATTTAGATGGAAAAATTAACCATCTCATTCGTGATGGAAGTGTCCAAAAATAAGTTATTATTATTATTCAGTTATTACGGTTTTTTTTCTTTTTGTTATATGTTAATTTATGTTTAATGTATTTTTTTCTTCTCTTTATATATGTAAATAATAAATAATAATAATAATAATAATGAATTATAATTGTTCTTTCATTGATATAATTGTTATTTAAATTAAATTTTAATATAGTCTATGTAAATAAATTATAATGAATAATAATAAATTTTCACCATTTTGGTATCTAATTTATTTATTTATTTTGTTATGAAGAGGTATGGACGACACTAATAATAAAGACATATGTCTTGTTGATAGTGCAACAACTCACACAATTCTTAAAAATAAAAAATATTTTTCTCATTTAGTGATACAACAAGCTAATGTGAGTACTATATTTGGTAGTACAAGAATTATTGAAGGTTCCGATAGAGCTAATATATTGTTGCCTGGTGGAACAAAATTACACATTGTTAATTATTTATATCTCACTAAGTCTCATTGAAACTTATTAAGTTTCAAAGATATCCGCAAAAATGGATACCATGTTGAAACAACAAATGAAGGAAGAGAAGAATACATGTATATCACAAAAATTATCTCAAATAAAAATGTGCATTAGAAAAATCTTTTTTTTTTTCTGGCTTATATTACACACATATAAATATAATTAAAACACACATTATTGTAAACCAGAAGTTTACAAATCA